GCAGGGCTCTCCAAGGCGCCCGGGGCGGCGCAGGCCGGCTCACCCGCCACAGTCCAGGCTCCTCCGGCGGGCGAGGGGCGTCTCGGCTCCCGCCGGCGGCAGCGTTAAGCTCGCCGGGTCGTGCAGCAGCAGGCGGCGGCGGTGGCGGGCGCCCGGCTCCATGAGGCGAAGTGACCCTCCTCGGCCCCCGTCGCCGGACCAGCAAACCGACGCGGCGCGCGCCCCGGAATGAGGAGAAGCCCCGCGCGCCCCCTCCTTACGGGCTCCCGCCGGGCGCCGCCCACAAGCGTCCACTCTCGTCCTCCCGCCAAAAGGGAGAGCCGCCAATCGGGAAGCGCCCCGCCTCCCCTTGATCGCCAGTGGCGCGGACCAAGGAGCGGAAGGCCTTCTGGCGGAGGACCAATCAGACAGCGGCGGAGCCCTAAGCCCCGCCTCTGCACGAGACGCGGGCGGAGCCTGGGGAAGAAAGGGGAAGGGGAAGGCACGTTCCAGGGAGCCAATAGGAGAGGCGCAGGGTCGCACGCGGCTACGGAGATAGGCAAAGCAGGGTAGCGCGCGCTTCCTGTTCCTCCGGTTAAGGACGGGGGAGCCGCGGACGCAAAGCCGTGCAGTGCGCGTGGCTTTAATTTATCGTGCATAGAAATAAATAATACGAGTCATTTCATACTGTTAAGATTTATAGTGTCATTTCCCCGCTCTTCATTAGCTAGCGTCCAGTGCAGTTTGCAAAACACCTGGAAACACAGTAAAGAAACAAATGCTCTTTTATTTAGACCAGGGTTTCTCAACCTTGGGAACTTTAAGATGTGTGGACTTCAATTCCCAGAATTCCCCAGCCAGCCATGCTGGCTGGGGAATTCTGGGAGTTGAAGTCTACACACCTTTAAGTTCCCACGGTTGAGAAACACTGATGTAGACGAGCAATACTGGGGCAATCCAACTGGAGTGGTTTCCCATTGTGACACTTTGGGCTTTTTAGACTAGAAAGGGGGCAAATGACCAGAACTACAAAGTGTTGCATGGTGTGCATAAAGTGGACAAGGAGAAGCTATTTTCCCCTTCCCACAACGGTAGAACCAGAGGTCACCCAATGAAATTGAATCCTGGAAGAATCAGGATGGAGAAAAGGAAATATTGCTTTACATAATGCTGAATTAAACTTCGGAATTCGCCGGTACGAGATGTTGTGCTGGCTAGCAGCTTCCTTGGGCACTCGGTGGGCCATGGGGAGAACAGGTTGCTGGACTTGATGGACCAGGGGCACGCTCCAGCAGGGCACTGCTTAGGTTTGATATTATTTATTTAAATGTATTGCCTGCCCAACTCCAGAGGACTCTGGGTGGCATACAAAACTAGGGGGAAAAAACATAAAAACAGCTAAAAACATTAAATCAAACAGGCAGCCCAGACTAAAATGAACTAATAAATAACAAAAACAAAACAGGGGCCATTCAACAAATAATAAACAGTTGTTATTTGCATTCGGCATGCTTGCTTGTTCTTCTAGTTTAAGAGCCTGGAACCAAAAAAGCTTTCCAGAGTTGTGTTGCTGCTGCTGCTGCTGTTGTTCCTCCTCTTCTTCCTCCTCCTCCTCCTCTTCCTCCTCTGAAGGCCATCTGCTGGAGGGCTTCCTTAGGCAATTGGGGGGCCGCTGTGAGAACAGATTCCTGGACTAGATGGGCCAGAGGCTGATCCAGCAGAGCCCAGCTTAGGTCCTTACGAGTCCTGTAATTGCAATCTCCAAATGCCTTCCGCTGTTCCAGAATGTGGGCCTTTAATGAGAAAATAATAATAACCAAGCTTTTTAAATATCTAGCCGGACTGATTTTGTGGTTCTTCTAGTTTAAGAGGCATTCCACCTGTTTTAATAGCTGCAATTTTCTTCTGCTTTGCAATCAGGCAAGCACGCCAAATGCAGAGAAGCAGGAGTGAGGGTCATGCCCAGGCCCCAGATTGGCCCTCGTGGAAAACACACATGGGGAGATAGGCCTTTGGCCCAATTCAAAGTTGCAGTGGAACCTTTACAGGCACCAGTGACCCAAAGACTGTTAAGCACGTAAGAGCTGGAGCTGGCGAGGCAGAACCAGCAATGCTGAGACGAGATACAGCCAGGAGCCTCCCAGTTATTCCCAACTGGCTATTAAATCAGCAAGGATGTCATAATCAATGATAGTCATTACCCATATGATGTACATCCAACCACCTCCTTCATTAAAGACGCCCGGAGTCGTTAAGAGTTGGGCGGCATACAATTTTAATACATTATCATCAAAAAACTGTAGAGTGTATTGGATTCCCCAAAGAATGTACTTGAATAGACATCAGATTTTCTTTCTTGGAGGTGCAAAAAATTGGAGGGTTCATTGACCCATATGATATAGTCATGTGATCATCAGGCATCCTTTTGGAATGGTGTTTTAATGTATAAAAGTAGATTTATGGGAAAATCTTTAAGGTGTTAATGTGATGCTGAACCATATACCAAAGCTATGGAATCCAACTATTCATCAGGAATTATGGTTGTATTGAGCAGGGGGAGGGTGGCTAAGAGTTATACTGTACTGAGAAATTGGAAAGGTAATATTACTCCAGATGTAAAGGAATGGCTTTTGGAAATGTGTGATTTTTCTCTCACACATTAAACTGAGCTCAGTGTAGCTTTGCCCATAAAGGACCCCCTCCAGAGATGAAACTTCTTGACTTCAGTAGTAGCACAGCATCTTTAAGAAACTTCATCCATTTACATTTTAAGCTTTTTATTATTTTTTTCTTAAATTTGGTCAGCTGCCTTAAATCCATACCATGGTCAATAGGTGGGATATAAATCAAATAATGTACGCCAACTCTTCACCTCAGTGGTAGTTCAGCATCTCTTAGTCGCTTAGTTGTCAGCCAGGTGACAAAGGAAGCATTTTGAGAACTGTCACCTTGAAGGGGCAGAACATGAGACCACCAGACTCTTGGGGAACTTCCATGTGTGAGTGTGTGCCACTCACACATGGAACTCTGACACCTGCATGTTTACTCTGAGAAGGGTTTGCTGGACAAAGCTACAAGCATTTGTAAACTGGTGTGTATTATCAATTTGTATACATCTGCATTCTGGGACAGTCTTCCCCACATGCAGTGGACCAACTCCCCTCGCTCTCAGCCTCTGGCTGGGGAAGATAGGACTCACATCTGGGGGTCCCCTGGCTCGGCCTGGAGTCTTTGGACTTGGTGACATGTAATCCTAAATAAATACTAATAGCAGCTGCTCTTGGAAGCCTAAATCGGTTATTGATGCTAGTGAGTCTTCGGCAGCCAACACAGGCGTGCGTGTGCTGTGTCTGCTCTTGTATTCCTTCCATCGCGTGAAATGCAGCACTTCCCATAAAAGAGAAAACACCTGGAATTCTCGGCCCGTCCTTCCCACTTTTATTCAGCTTCAGACAGGAAGAACCATTTCAATCCCACCAAACAGCCCGTTTCTGTACAAGAGCTCTTTTTATTTCAATATAAATAACAGAGGAACATCTGGGTTATCTCATGTCCATCCTTATACCAGTACAGAGAGAATTTAAAAGCACTGAGACTTTCTGCACCATTCTGGTGCAGGGAGGCAGGGATGGGGAGCAACAGCAAGGCAAAGCCTGGGGTGACCAGTGTTTTGAGTAAGGTGGGTCTAGCCGCATTCACTGCTGACGCAGCTGGAACTCGGTTGCTGGCGTCCAACCTCAGATGCGATCAGCCCAGCCGGGTGCCGGATAGCGTCTTTCTGGAGTGAAAGAAGTGGTGAGAGTCCATCTTGTGAAGGAAAGTTTTGGATTTCCCCTTAGGAAAACAGGTTTGGAGATGACTTGCAGGAGGCAGAAAGCAGCAGATGAATGATAGGGAAGAGCTGGGCAGTTTTCCGAGAAAGATGGCAGGGAACAAACGTATGCATGACTGACGTTCCCTGCCATCTTTCTCGGGATCAGCCCTACGAGATCAGAAAAGGAGAAAGGCTGGGAGAGCACTTCAAAGCAACCAGAAACCCACCTTCCTTAAAAGGATTGCAGTTGATAGAGAGGGATCCCTGAAAGGGCACCCCCTCTTCCAAAACCCTCTGCCACCACTCTGGACCTCACCCTACTAGTCTCAGCGTCTCCACGCCCACCACTTGCAACACACTTTGTGAGAATGAACCCCACCTTCACCCTCCCCTCTATATCAGGTGCGCAGATACATTTGCAAATCTGCTGTTCTCTCTCATCTGAGAACACAGGACTGGAACCACAGGTATAAGTTACGAGAAGTCAGCTTCCAACTGAATGTCAGCAAAAAAGTTCCTAACTGTAAGAGAAACTCAACAGTGAAACCCAGGACGCAGAGAGGGACGGGTTCCCTGTCACTGGACGCATTCAAGGGGAGGCCAAACGTCGGTGCTTTAATCTGGATTTGGATTCAGTGGCCCGAATCACCCCTTCCGACAGTCTCATTCTATAGTACATATGGCGTCACAGATTTACACACACATTTCTGAATAAAAGAAGGGGAATGTTACAAAAGGACTATGAGAGTGTGAATCTGCTCATTGTACTCACTCCTAGCAAGTATCACCAAGCTGCTTATAAACAAGGTTGATCCTGGAGGAGAAAAGTGAGGAGAGATCAAATGCAGATTTAGTACCTCCAGTTTAAGCATATGAAGCCACAGCAAAATCATGGCTTATGTTAAAACTGTAACACCATTTCCCTTCACCTGCACTTGAACTGTCAGCTTGGTGCTAATGTTCCAAACAAGCTGCAGCAAAAATGGGATTTTTGGGCAAACAGGTTGTATTAAAGATACAAGCACAGAAGTTCCTGCAAGATGCACTGATTTCAATCAAAGGAATTAGCTGTGTTAAGCTCTGCTCTGCTTAGCAGGGAAGCATCTTGAGTCAAGGACCCGGGTATTCCGAATTCACCTGGAGTTCATTCATGACTCTGCTGGTGGTTTTGAACTATACGACGTTACACGTGGAAGTTCGGCCGTCATTCCATCACCAGCTATTCCAAGCATTGATTTAACTTAAGGCTGTTTGCTCTTGCAAACGTCGCTCTGTTTCTCAGTTCAGAGGGCAGTGGTGCAGGGCTGAAACCAGGAGCAGGGGACCTTACCAAAGAAACACAGAAATCCTGCCTTACGCCATCGCAGGCTCCCTTCTTTCTGTTTCGGCCCGACGGCAGACAGTCGCTAGAACACAGCTGCCAGCTTGCCTTTTTTGACCATACCCTGCAGACACCCCCGTAGACGGGCACGTACATCAAGAAACGTGAAGCTGCTGCCCCAGTTCCTTCCATGTGGGAAAAACCACGAGGCGATTTAATAGGATGGCCTGATTCCCACAAGGGAAAACGATGGCTAGTTTCTCACAGCGCACGGAATATTATAAAGTACCCAACCCCATTTTTGCCTAATCTAGAATGTCATGCAGTCCCAGCCGCTACACTGCATTATACAGCAACAAAAAAAGAGCCAGATTTCAGCTTCTGAAACCTAGATATATAATGCAGGACGCAAACGTCCGAGAGAGGATCTGTGAGTGAAAAGAAACCACAACAATTTCTGTGGAATCACGTCTGTTCCTCCTCCAAAATTACTTACCTTCTACTATCAGCAGGAAAATATAAATCAGAGCAACTGTCATTAAGAATTAGACAGCATTTGCAGAGCATTTGATTTTCAAATAGTTTTAAGATGCTCACTTCCTCATTAAAAAAGGCTGTCAACTAATATCACCAGCCAAGCAACCATTTTTTAAAACTTAAATCTGGGTAAAGCCTCCTAAAAACAATGAGATTCACTTCTGAGAAGACAATATAGGATTGCATTTTTAACTATTAATTGAAAATGTCAAGTTTAGCTTGTCATACTGTCAAAAGCATAAACAGGAAATATGTATTTGCAATAAAACAAATGTATTTGTGGGCCGTTTCTACTGGCCTTTTGTACTACAACATTTAACCAGTTGTAAGATTTCCAATCATCTTTTGGCATATCTGCAACCAGCAGGGGAACGATCCGTCAAGGATATCCTGGGCCTCCCACCAGCCCCCAAACTAACGTGGGACAATCTGCCCTCAAACCTTGATTATCTTCATCAACCAACTCAATGCCCAATTTTTTTCAGCTGCCACCTGTTAACGGTTTCACGCTAAGACCAGCCTTTAATGTTTTGTGTCAAGAAGCAAAAGTGTAGCTTTGTCCTCACAAGTACCTTCGATGAAAGGAAAACAAGCTGCTAATCACACCAATCTGTCTCTCAATCCATTACAGTTTCTAGAACTTTATGCACAGCCCAAAGGTAACACAGAATATAATTTTACAGTGGCTAATCAAGATTTAGGGCACAGATTTCTAAAATGCCATAATTAAAATAGCTAATAAGAAAAAATGTTAAATCCCTTATAAAAGTTTGCACATGATGTACAATCTCCATTTTCTGTTGGCAAAAAAATATTCATGTTCCTTTGCTTAAAGAGCTTAATAAATGACCAAAGACATGTAACTATTTTATAAGCTCAACACCGAATGAAAAGCATTTCAGGAACATAACAGTTTATAATGGCAATATTCAGTAGTTGAAACAGTACAAGTGAACACCATTCTTTTAAATGACACACAGAAAAAATGTTATAATAAAAATATAATAAAACCCACAGAGATAGTAACACTCATCCACATTAAGCTGGTTTGAATTTTCAAGTAAACATTAAAATAGATCCAAATGTTTCCTTTATCATTTCAAATATATAGAATAGTCCACCATGAGGAAGTTTCAGCTTTCTTGACTTTGTATCCCAAGGGGATGAAAAATATTTATTGTCAGATTTCAAGTGAATCAAACCCAGTATTTTCTTTTGCCAGACATTACAAAGCATACTATAGTAACAAGTGATGGCTCACCCAAACCAATATTGCCACATGCTTCCTTTATTACAAGCACCCATCTAGATTCCTCAGTAGTGTTTGGACAGGAAACAGTCTCAAAAATTAAAAAGCTTGACACCGAAGCAGGAGGTCCATTGTGCACTCCAATCATCTTGCTTCTAAACACTGCCATGGCAAGACATGGTCCTCAAAAAGCAAATTAACTTGCATCATCTTCCAAAGATTCATTTACCTTTTTGCAGACTTACTCACTCGCTCTTCAGAATTCAATTCCGTGATGTCTTGGGGAGAACAGGAAGCTTTTCAACCAGTGCCCTGTGGTTCATCTTGATGCTCGCTATCAGCCCACCTTCATTGCCATTTGAGCCTATGTAACTGATTTCCTCCCCTGCCAGGGTGGTCATCTGCCCTCCTAGTGCCTTCAGCACCGCATTGCCTGCACAAATATCCCATTTCTTGATGTACGTTACATGAATATATACATCTGCCTTTTCCTGGTGTGCTTCTGGGACGTTGAGAAGAGATAAAACTTTATACCCTGGGGAAAGGGGGAAGAAGACATTAAAACATCTGTGTATGACATGTGGCAGGAAAGAAGATGTGGGTGGCTTAACTGCAGTGGTGATGGATGTGCTGTTGGAAGACCTGAAGGAGCAGGCTGGGGACAGAGCCCCCAGAGAAAATCTATCTATGTGGCCACTAAAATTTGACACTGACCTGATGACGTGTAATTAGTCAAATGGTTGCACAAGAGCAGTGTTTAATCTCTCAGTGCATGCAGTGCTTTCTGACGGATGCATGAAAAATTCTTCAACTCAAAACTTTGGATTTAATTACTCAATTGAACAGCTTAGTGGAAATTTTAATGAACAGGAAATTTCACTGCTGTTCTCTGAACTCTGCTGGTGAAAGTGAGTGAACACAACCACTGTCACAAACCCTAACATACAGATTTGGTCAGAGATCACAGAGGTCACTGTTCACTGCAAAAAGATGATTAAACCAACTGGAGGCTCTCCACCCACAAAGCAAACACAAAGAAAAGAAGGGCCTGGTGCAACACTGGGCTTGGTCTGAGGGCTGTACTAGAGCAGAGCTCCACTCCAAAAATGGGTGTGGCCATTTTGAGAGGGGCTTTCAAGAGCGTTTAAGAGCAGAAATGGGTTCCTTAAGCACATGCAAGGCTCAAGGCACTCATTTTGCCCCTGAAAAGCTTCCAAATGCAAACGTGACCCCAAATGTTTGGTCCCATTCACTCTGGCAGGGGCTTGGGGTCCAAAAGGGATGCTGGCATACCACGTGCTGATCCTGGGCCACCCTTTTCACACCCCAGATTTAGAGTTACTAGAATGATTTGCTTGAAAATGGTGCTATGTTGTACTGAGTGTGAAAATCACCATTCTGGAGATCAAATCCACCAGGATTTATTTCCAGAAATCTCTGGACCGTTTCTGAGTGGCGAGGTTGGAATGGTCCAGAAGAAAAACAGATTGTGGAGTGTTTCCCAGAGTGGTGGGCTGTGCTGCAGACGTGACTTTTGTCCTGGGAGATCCACACATCTTGAATTAGGTGGGGGATAGACAGACAGCAGTGGTGAAGACACATGTGAGGACTCAGTGGTGTTTTGGGATTTTTCACCCCTCTGGTTTAAGAACCATTCATAATTAGCCTCACATATCCTCCATTATTTAAACAAGACTTTATGGATATTAAAATAAGGTGCAATACTAGATTTATTTTTAAAAGAGAGATTTAATTATTTGTTGGTTCCTACTGCTGTGACCGATAGGATTGTTAAGGGTTGTTCACTGCTGTTTTAATATTGCTGCCCGTCATTTTTAGCAACCGCATAATAGCAGCCACTAAACAGAATAAGCAGCTAAGCTTTGCCAGAAAACCACCAAAATTGTTTTGCTCACACCTTGTTTAAGATGTTTGCAAAATGTTAGAGCAGGGGTTCCTGGCAGCCCATGAACTTGGATGGGGAGAAAAACAGGACTTTATTTTCCATAACCTCTAACTGAAATCTAGCTTTTCATTCAATAATAGATTTAGGTCACAAAGGAATCTATGGACTCCAATCACATTTGTTAGCTTCAATAAATCACACTATC